GGGTGACAAGATTGTCCGGCTTAAAATGGATGGTTTAAGGTCAAGATCAAGCAGTGGCAGTGGCAAAAAATGTTTGTTCAAATACCTTGACAACTGAACATACTGAACCACAGATGATGGTTCAAGCTCCATTACATATCATACATTCTTGATTAAAATCCAATTATAAATCTCATACATTCTTGATTATAATCCAATTATATCACTCTTTGAATTGTTGATTTAATACCTTTGTTTCTTTGTTTGCCAACAACTCCAACATTGAAATCCTTAATTGCCACCATCAACCATTGTGAACCGTAACCACTGGTCATTGTTGGCGAACTATTTTATCCCGCTGTTTGGAAGTGTGAACCACTCTTATATAGTGTAATCTCAATATAATCCCAATGCAATCCAAAAAAAAGAGTCATATCCCAACTATATCATCTCAGTTACTCATCTATATCATCTCACTTATATCCCAACTATATCCCAATAGAATCCCACTTATACCAATGGCCATTCCAGGAACCCAAATTGGAGGTACCTACCATATATAAGGCCTATTTTTCAGGGCTAAATTTCAGGGGATATACCCCCAAAACATGGCCAAAAAAATGATACAGTACATCCATTTTAGGATCCTGGAATTCCCATTGATTACTGGTTGGTGGTTTGGAACATTTTTTTATTTTTCCATATATTGGGAATAATCATCCCAACTGACTTTCATATTTTTCAGAGGGGTAGGTATACCACCAACCAGATTATATTCCAGTTATACCCGCACCGACCAGGATCCGCACTGCCCCAACGGTTGCGGACACGGCATGTGCGGTGCCTTGACGCCCGAGATGCCAGGTGGGCGGGGAACTGATGAGAATCATGGGGATGACCCTCTGGTAATTTGTTACAGTTTGCTATTGAAAATGGTGATTTATAGTGGATTTACCCATTGAACATGGTGATTTTCCGATTGAACATGGTGATATTCCCACTTTGTACAAATAGTAGATGATTAATAATCCCCATGATTTACAAACAGTAGATTATTCATACCCTCTGGTAAACATACAAAAAAATATTGAACATCACCATGCTATCAATGGGAAAATCCACTACAAATTACCAGAGGGTATAAAGAATCTACTATTTGTAAATAATGGGGAATATTAATCATCTATTTGTAAATAAAGTGGGGCTATCCATAATATACTATCAATAAATGTGGTGTTGATGAAAATTAATAGTTTATAAGATAAATGGAATTGGGGATTTATGATCTAATAAACTATTCATGGGGGTTGATTGATTACCTCCGGAGAAGAGTGGTAATTATGACTATTATTCACTCTGGAATATCATTGTAAGTAGTGATCATCACTTTTGATAATATATTACTTCTGATAATATATTGATAACATCATTATTATTATTATTATCATCACTTTTGATTATTTAATCTGTAAGTAATGATCATCACTTTTTGATCATATATTTAATATATTACCACTGGCATACCTTACTTTCTTCAAGAGTGGTTTATCCATGTGAACATTCCTCGCCGCAGGCTCCTGCACCTGCGAAGAGGGCTGGTCTGGAGCCAACTGCGATGTGCAGGCCATGGGCAGTCCTGGTTGGTTGGTGATGTAGTTAAATACGTTATGATGGATTGATGTATTGGGATACATGATGTTGATGGATGTTGATGGTAATTTAAGGGCTGCCGCCCCCTGCCGCTGACCCCGGGCATTGACTAGAATAGGCAGACTTTTTGATGAAGCTAACATGATTTATTGGATGATTGATGATCAGTTCATCCCTTGTCAATAATCATGTTGGGTTAGGAACCATCATGTTATAATCCATTCTGATCTTCATCATAGTATTGTTGATATCCCATTAGGGCATTGACTAGAATAGGCAGACTTTTTGATGAAGCTAACATGATTCATTGGATGATTGATGATCAGTTCATCTCTTGTCAATAATCATGTTGGGTTAGGAACCATCATGCTATAATCCATTCTGATCTTCATCATAGTATTGTTGATATCCCATTATATCTCCATTATATGCTGGTTACTTAAAGGAATTGGTCTATCTCGTTATGGTTGGTGATATCTCCATGATATCCCCACGCAAGCCACGATTTTCCAGCTCGCTGCGATTCCGTGGATCTTTCGGGCCGGTAGCTGATGTCGCTCATCCAATGGGTAGAGCAGCTCAGAGGCAGCAAACATTTCGGCAAGCTACTGGACCTGGATTTGTGCTGTCGTTTACTTTTGAGCTCTACGAACATGTCCAATTTAAGACGTCTTGAGCTGGAGACTGTAAATGTTTGTCATGAAAGTCTTAGGGCTTATGATGCGCTGGACAGTTTGATTCGAATCCCATGTGCTGGTGACTACGGTTGGTGTCTACACGGCTAAGAGGGTCCAAACACCAAATCGGCCTACGGCCTCGCGGGGATGGGCGGCGGTTGATGTGCAAAGATTGCATTGAAACGCAGCGGGGTTGTGGAAATATGTTTAGTGAGTATGTTTCTACACACTCTCTGTCTCTATATACGATGCAGACGCACTAATGCATATATCATATTGTATATATATATACTTATAGTGCATATGTACATAGACAGAAAGTCATAGAGACAGATTCATGTAGTACTGGTACATGCCTATGTTTGCAGCCCCGGTCTAGGTAGCTCAAGGTGTGGTAATACTCATTCAGTCCATGGCAGGCCTTGTTGATCTTTGTCCCACCAGCAGTTGGAAAGTCACCCACTAGCATGGAGGCCAGGGGTGTGTTCACGGGGGAAAGCATCGTGCTTTCTGTTGTTGTTGGCAAAACGAGGGATGCGGAGACGGGTGCGCACCTATGGGACCATGGGAATGGGAAGGTGAACATTGACTGAAGAATGAGAAAGGCATAAGCACAAGCTATTTTGGTGTGAACGGTACCAGGGTGAGCTTACCTTGAGCCATGCGGAAGCCAGTCTTTTGTTGAATGTCGTATTGTCTTGACCCAGCATCTTATATCGTTGCATCGAGCTCCTATTGGAAAGAAGTCCCGGGTAAATGGAGGATTAAGAGACCCGAAGTCCATTTAGAAGCCGTGTGACCTCAAGTGCGACGTGTTTGCAGCGGGCCAGTGATCATGGCGTTGCTGCTGACGGTGCTGAGCTCGGCGAAGCCGGAGCTGAAGGCGCTGGTCGAGAAGAAGGACACGGAGAGTTGGTAGGCTCACTTTGAGAAGGACCGCGAGAGTAAGTCATCATTGCATGGGTTTGGGATGTTGGTATCTTTTGGGGTCCCTTAAAGTAGCTATGAGATATATCGTCAACTTGCATGGGTGAAAGGCGGGAATGGGCAGGATAAAGGTCTTGCTGTGAAGTTCGAGATCGAGACAAGCGGCCAGCTGAGCATCCACTACGCGCCAGCGCATGAGGACCAAGTCCGTGCTGTGCTGGAGCAAGCGGGTCTCCAGGTTGGGCGTTCGGAAGTTGCTGTTTGGATGTTCTGGACAAGCAGAGTCAGTTTGTTTGAGAATGGGGAAGAAGTGTGGGGGTAGGCAATGAATTTGGATGATTGGGGCCGTGGCGGGTGTGGAGGCCAACGGGCCGAGCGGGAGCGTCGGTCAGCTGAAGGGCGTGGCGGAGGCTGGTGCTGAGCACCCGAGCATGTCCCGACCTGGCATGCCCCAATATAGGCTTTGTGTAAGGAATTGTGAAGGTTTTGTGAGCAGTGACATGCGCAGCACGTGCGCATGGGTTGCAACGATGCTCCTGGTGCCGTTCCAGCCGCGTCGGTTGGTGATGCACCGAAGTTGTCGCAGGCGGGGGTTGACGTCACTAAATGCACACGGAGACACAGGGAGACAGGGACACAGAGACAAACACAGACACACACACACACAGACGGACAGACATGCATGCACGCGCAGACAATGAATATATCTATATCTATACGTAACATCGGTAGATCGATTGGAAGAACATGTGACCGTGCTAGCACTCTGACAGAAGGTGGGACGTTTCTTTTGTGGGTGGTGTTGGAAGGGCGTGGTCTAAGTGTTTCTCGGGTCGACCTTTCTGATGGTTGTCTCATGGGCGAGAGCTTCATCACTGTTTTGCAGGTGGTCCTGGATGTCATGCTCGAATTTCGGGAGCAGAAACATTTCGAAGACCGCCGTAAAGACCTGCGGATCTTTTTGCAGTGCCTGGCGCCGCATCTCGGCAAGAGGGTTGTGGGTTTGTGACATGTTTTGTGCTGGCGTGCAAGTGCGCGGTTGATACGTTCAACTGCTCTGCATTTGGATCTATTGTGGTGGTAGCCTGTGTTAGGTTGACTGGAGTCCTTCTAGTGGGTGCTGGATACAGGGTGGTCTGAGGTCGGAAGGGTTGAAGATTAACTATGGTTTGTGCGTAGGAGTGTTGCTGTGACGTGATGGGAAGGGGTACATGTTGGCGGGGTGCGCCGCTTGCAGTAGCATTGACCATGACGATTTGGAGAGACAGGACCTGGTAAATGTCTATGGAGAGTGGAGAGGTGATAGGTTCAAGTCCAATGCAGTTGATCCAATTGTGTTGCGTTGTTTTCGTGGTGGATTGGATATCCACGCATGGGCTTCTTTGAGATCGTTGTGGGGGTTTGGAAGTTGAGGTTGGGGGTGCGCATCATGAAGGCGATCATTCTGGCAAACGGATGGCGTGCTCGTGTCAGTTGTGCTGGGCTACAGGAGAAGGTGAACACGTTCAAGACGAAGTTGACCGAAGTGGCTGTGGTTCGGCCTGTGGCGACGGAGGATCGTGAGCGAGAGCAATCTGCGTCTTGGCATTTGGGTTCTGTTGACTGTAGGATTGCGTGGCAGGATGTGGTTGGAGGTGGCATGAGGTTGGAGTTTGTGCGGTTTTATTGTGGGAGGGTTTGGACTTGGAATTTGTCTGGAAGTGGGGTCGATTGATTTGCGAGGCTCGCAAGAGGATCCTCGAGGACTGTTCGGCTGTGAAGCAAGGGATGCAGGCGGCCAATGCGCTTTCAGCCTTGCTGCCGGCTGGTGGAAAGACATCGAGATTGAGACGCAACGTGTCGCTTCTTTCAGAGTCGCTGGCTATCGGCCCTTTGGCTGCTTTTATTGTTGACGGTAGTGAGAGGTGAGCGGTAGAGTATCCGGTTGGCTTTCTTCACGAGACCGAAGCTTCATTTGTACTGATGTATCATTGGTATCGCATGTCCAATGGGAACGCAATATGTTTGGCTTTCCCACATCACCGGTTGAGCGAGGTGGTTCTTTGGAGGTTGGTTGGCATCGAATTGTGATATAGCATGAACATGTGCAGTATGAGAAGTGTATGTTTGCCGCGGCGAGGAATGAGAGTGACATCTGCGAGATTGCAAGCCGCGCAGAACAGTGTGGTCGACATGCAGCCGGCGGAGGACGTGGAGGAGGACCAGAGGATGTAGATGGGCAGCCTAGGGCGCCGGGAAGCGTTTAAGGCCAGCCTAGTGCCTAACGTTGCTTGCTGAAACCAGAAGAAAATTTCAAGGAAAGCGCCCGGCAGGTGGCCAAAGGACATGCTGCTGGGCCGCCAAGGGCGCCGGGAAGGGTTCAAGGGCAGCGTAGGGCGCCGGGAAGCGTTTAAGGCCAGCCTAGTGCCTAACTTTGCTTTCTGAAACCAGGAGAAAATCTCAAGGAAAGCGGCCGGCAGGTGGCCAAAGGACATGCTGCTGGGCCGCCAAGGGCGCCGGGAAGCGATTAAGGGCAGCCTAGGGCGCCGGGAAGCGTTTAAGGCCAGCCTAGTGCCTAACGTTGCTTTCTGAAACCAGAAGAAAATCTGAAGGAAAGCGGCCGGCAGGTGGCCAAAGGACATGCTGCTGGGCCGAAGGGCGCCGGGAAGGGTTTAAGGGCAGCCTAGGGTGCCGGGAAGCGTTTAAGGCCAGCCTAGTGCCTAACGTTGCTTTCTGAAACCAGAAGAAAATCTCAAGGAAAGCGGCCAAGGACATGCTGCTGGGCCGAAGGGCGCCGCAAAGCCACTTTTTCTCGGGCGCGCTCCCCCTGCAGATGGCTGGGGTCGGCGGATATATGGTAATCTTGAATATTGATGTCTCGAGATGATAATTCATACATGATGGCTGTTGTTGTTGTTGTTGTTGTTGTTGTTGTTGTTGTTGTTGGGATGGTTGGTGTCCAAGCATAACTCTGATGGTAGCCATTTTGGCTCAAGGTTTAAAGCTGGAGGGCTCCTTCCCTGGGCTTTTCCATGGCCGCTTTGATTACACCTGCGGCTTTGGAGGCCCTAACAACGGTCGCACAAGTTCGGGACTGGACAGGTCTTCCTGTCGCGTCCTGGACCGCGGTCGATTCGGTCCTGGGTGGAGCAAACCATCTGAGGATTTTGGCGTTTCTGCCTTCCACTACTTGGCAGCAAGTTGTTCAAGCTGCACGGGTGCCTGTTCCGGCCCAAGGGGAGCCTGGAGATGACGGCCACGTGCCCGCCACGGAGCGGGAATTGACAGCCGTTGAACGCACCCAGGTGGGGCTGATGGCGCAGCTATCACAGATGAAACTGGGACGAAACCCAGTAGATCCCTTCTCGGAGCCGCTGCTACATGCGGCAGGTGGCGGAGCACCCGCACCAGCCGGTGCCACGGGAGGAGCAAATGCCGGGCACCCTGTTCGGAAGGTAAAGAACAATCAGGTCCTGGACCAAGCGGACGAGGGCGAAGTGCCGGAGCTGACTCAGGTCACGATCGACGAGCACTTCAAAATTTTGCAGCGAGTCAAAGGAGGCCCGGTTCGCCCAGAAGCAGAGCCTTCTCCGGACCAAATCTCCGCTATGCGGGTTAGAGTCCTGGAACTAGGGTTGGCACCCTACGCCGACTTCGGCATTTTTGTCAATTATCAAGGGCGCTTCTCCAGAACTCTCAAGTTCCTCAACCACGTGCTCCAGCCGGACGGTACCTTTCGGGCCGTGGAGGTGGCTGGACCGCCAAACTATGACTCATGGCTGTCGTCATGGCGGGTGTACGAGAACACGCTGCTGATGTTGGAGCACACGGTGGCACCCGGCACTACCGAAGCGGTCGTCACGGTCGCCGCTTTGGAAGAATATAAAGACGCCTTCCGGGATCTGACCGTGCACTACCCGGAATCCTGGCATCTGCTGGTCACGGCAGAAGACCGCTGCCGCGCGGAACATTTCGTCCGACTGAAAAGGGACCTAGACGAAAAGCACAGAAAGGGGCTGGCGCCAGACTACGAACCCAGCCAGCCATGGAATGGAGTCTTCCGCGTGGCAGCCCGGGACCGGGAGTATTGGGATCGCCATGTGCGCGAGCCGGCCCTGCTCTTTCGCACGGCCGGAAAGCATAAGGAGCAGCCGGGCGGAACCGGGTCCCTCACTGACTTGACCCAGGAAAAGCCCAAGCCGCGGGGCACAAGAAAGTCCCAAAAGGAGAGGCTCAAGGCCCAATTGGCCAAGGACAGGGGCAACCGTCCACGGGAGGTACCGGAGACCCGACCGGCAAAGCGAAGGGCCGAGGGGCCAAGAGAGACAACAGAGGCCGGTACCTCACCGACAAGCAGGGCAAACCCATCTGTTTCGGGTTTAACAACGGGGAATGCAAAGGAAATTGCCCTAAGCAAATGGCACACGCATGCCAGATCTGTATGGGGCCACACCCGGCCAAGGGATGTGGCAAGGGGGCCACCCCCTGACCAGCCGGCCAACCCCGGGCTGAGAAGCCCGGTGCCCGGCCCGGTGCACAGCCTCACCCGGGACCGGAAAAAGAAGGGGGCAGCACAGGAGGACGGGACGGACCATGTCCCGAAGCAAAGAGCGCACCGCCTCCGCACCCGGACCCGACCAAACCGACGTATCGGAGGATCGGGAGGTACCAAAACAAGTTAGTGCGGGACGAGTTAGGAAGTTGCGCTTCGGATAGGAACTGACCTTCGGGCAGGGACGGTAGGGCTGCCGAGGACGAGGCGTATCCGGGAGGCATGCGCAATCCCAGGAGAGCCGTCCGGGAGGCCCCTAGATGGCAAGCTTGGGGAGCCAAAGCATCAGCGGCGCTGGATGAAGTGCTGGCCAACTCTCCCGAGGCAATCGCCTTGGCAGAGGGCATCGGTGCTGAAATGACGCCGGAAGAGGCTTTGGAGGCCCAGGAAACATTGCAGGCGCTGGGCAAGCGAGCCGCGCGTGCCCTAGCGGAAGCCACAGGAAAAGGAAATGCATGGGAGCCCACCGGCCCCACTGGATGGAGATGGGCGCTGGTCCAGGCCATCACAGAAGGAGCAGGGGACATGGACCACGACGTCGCGCGCTGGCTACAAGGGCGCACACCGCTAGGGATCTCGGAACCCATCGAGCCGCGCGGTATCTTTCCGCCGGCTCAGCCTACGAAGGCGCAGCTGGAAAGTGCGGAGTACCTTGCTACGCGCGGGGATGAGGTCACAGTCGAGAGAAACTACAAGTCCTTCCATTTCCACGAGAAGGAGTCGTGTGTGGAGCTGGATCGGCTGGTAAAGGAGGGACACCTGGAGATCGTGGGCACCTGGGAGCAGGTGACGGCCAGGTGGCCCAAAGCCAGAGCCACCAAGCTGGCGACCCTGGTCAAGGAAAAGGGAGATGGGAGCGTCAAGACCCGATTCGTCGCAGATATGCGGCGGTCCGGAATCAATGGCCTCGCGTCAGCGAGCGAGCGAATCGTACTCCCAAGAGCCTGTGACGTCGTGCGGGACGCACTCGACCTCCTGGAAGGCAACGCCGGCCTGGAATTCTTCTCAGCCGATTTTTCGGATGCATTCTTGAATCTGGCCATCGCCGAGAAAGAAAGGGGTTATGCCGTTGTCCGAACAGCCAGTGGCGACTATGCGGCATATAAGGGCGTGCCGTTTGGGCTCGCCACAGCACCCCTAGTGTGGGGGCGAACCGCAGCCTGGATCGGACGGGCAACCCAAGCCCTTTCACAAGAGTGGCGATCCCGCACACACATCTATGTAGATGACCCCATATGCATCGTGCGTGGGGACCGGGCATCCCGAACCTTCGTCATCGCTAAGGTTCTGGCATTCTGGGCCGCCCTTGGAGCCCGGATAGCCCTCCACAAGGCGGCACGCGGGCAAGCAGTTAAATGGATCGGGGCGGTTTTCACCGTAATCCCCGGGGGCGTGCAGGTCGCCGTCGATTCGGAGCGCATTGCCCGGCTGCAGGACACGGTGCGTCAAGGCCTGGAGACAGCCGGCCTAGTCCAGGGCATGCGCAGTTTGGCCGGGGAGCTGAGCTGGATAGCCGGCATAGTTCCGACCATCAGACCGTTTGCCAACATGATTTGGGCGGCTACCTACGCTATGGAAAGGCAGGACTGTAGGGCCAAGAAGGGCCTCTCCAGGGCACGCATTCGGCCCAGGGACGCAGTCTTTGCCAAAATGGTACGACTACCGTTGAAATGGCTGCAACGATTTCTGCAGGGAGAGCACGGAGGATTGCGGCGAGTGCGCTTGATCTGGGACAGGTTTGCCTTCCCACAGTGGTATGTGCGCACAGATGCTTCCACATCCGGGCTGGGCGGCATCCTCTTGGATGCTAAGGGTAACCCAGTCCGGTGGTGGGCATCAGAGATCCCTGCCCAAGCCCTCGCTCACCTCGCAATCACAGCCGGGGAGCCGGGTCTGATGACGACCTACGAGCTCCTCGCCCTTCTTTTCTCAATTATTATCTGGGCCCCCTTCCTACGCAAGTGTAGGTTGGGAATGATGGCTCAGTTAGATTCGGAGTCTGCGCTGTTCGTAGCAGCAAAGCTGGCCTCACCGCACTCGAAGGCAAACCTGGTGGCCGCCGAGCTTGCACTGCGCACCGAGCAGCTAGGAATCGAATCCATTCTAGGTCAGCATTGGGCCAATACCATCAACATTGAGGCCGACGCACTGTCCCGTCTGGCGGAAGGGAAGCAGATACCAAAGCGGTTGCTGCCCCTTCCCCGCGATTTTGTGCCAGAGGGGCCGCTCTTTCTCCTCTCCGAAGTCTTCAGTGACCCTCGGCTGGCACTTTGGCAATGGCCGCGGGGGGTCGTTGGGTCACTTTAAGAAACTTGTAGGTTAAAAGTTTTTTCCCCCAGGTTGCCCCCCCTCACCCACCCCCAACGCCACCCCCCCTTTTCTCCGCAGCCCCTTTTGTGCTCAAATGCTGCTAACAGTCAGCGGCACCTTTTTTGGGCTCATACCCGCCGACCTCACTGTTGCGCTGCTGCTGGACATCACCAGCACCAGCCTGCTCCTCGCCTGCCTCCATCGATGTTGTTGCGCAGGGCAGCGGCCTGGAAATGGAAGGCAGTGGGACTCACTGCCTCCCAGGTTCGCTCCCTCCGACGTGCACTCCCTTCCGGACCGCGACCAAGTCAGGGGGCAGCAGCAGCTCTCGCTGCCGGGCGGTCCGGACCAGGGCACGTGGCGGCGCCGCCATGCGAGGCGACGCAGGGGGCCGAGCGGCTCACGAAGTCGGGAGAACGGAACAGAGAAGGCGGCGGCCCGGATGACCGTGGAGGGCAGACGTGGCCACGCACCGGCCCCGCAGATGCCTTCACCCATGGTGGGAGGAAGCGAGGCGACCGTGCCGGGCAATTACGCCTCAGCACCGAATGGAGTCGCGGCAAGAGGGCGTGCCGCCATGCGGCAGACACCAGCGCGGGCCACAGGTGCGGTGGCCCAGGCCGATGCAAGGTCTGGAAGCTGACGGATTTGGACACGACGGACGGTCTCCGTGACTTCCTGGGTCTCCCGTGCAACGAAGGGGCAAGGGAAGGATCCGCGAGCACACCGCCCCCAGTCAACTCGGAACGCAGCGACAAGGGGCGGAAGGAACCGGCAGGGCCGCCCGAGAAAGGGGTCAGGCGTGAACCGGATCGGAGCGACAGCGAGGACGACCCGGAAGAAAGCCCGCCGCCAAGGGACTTCGGCGACAAGCTCGGGTTGCCTGATTACGGCCCCATCTGCTGCGGCTGCGGGATGGGCAGTTGTCGCGGCATCCAGCACCGGCAGGCCCTGGACTACTCCACCATGATCACTCGCCGCGCAGGGGGGGCAGGCAGCCCGCGCATAGCCATTTGCCTGGCCCCGGCCAGGAACGGCGCCATCAGGCCGACAGGCACCGACCGCCGGCTGTGCGGGCACACCCCATGTGAGCGGTGCGTGGTTTGGGTGCGGGGGTCGCCGATGTGCCCCTGCTGCGCAAACCGAGCTATGGCCTATGGGTCGCAGCTGCAAGGAGCTGGGCCGCTCCCGCCGCTGGATGCAAGGAACAGGCAAGCCGTCCCGGAGGGCGGGGCGGGGAAGCCACCACCAGCGAGCGGACAGGGCAGGGATCGACGGGTGGACCTGATCAGCCGCGGCGAGGCGCCGGCGAGGGCCCGGAGCCGGACGCCGGCGGCGAGAACGGCCTCACCCCGCAGACCGGCCTCACCGGATGGAAGGACTGGGGGCGAGGAATCGGGCCCGCCCGAGGAGGAGGCACCACGAAGAACCGCGGAAGCAAGCCCCGGGGCACCCAGACCGGCCTCTCCGGCTAGACGGGCCAGGGACGAGGAACGGAGCCCACGTGGAGCAGAGAGGCCACGGAATAACATGGAATCAAGCGAAGAAGAGGAGGTCACGGACGAGGAGGAGGACAGGGAAGGCCTCTATCGCAACATCGCGGGATCCAAAGGAGATTGGGCAGAGAGGCCAGAACGCGCAGGGGGCGACTGGGAAAGTCACCATCGTCGGGAATGCATGAACCCGCACTGCAACCGGCCGGCCCGGGGATCGGACGAGATCTGCTGCGGTCGTTGCACCGAAACACAGGGCCGGGAGCACTCCTTCAACTGTAATGCCCGCACCTACGGTGACGACAAGAGGCGGTCGGGCCGGCCGTGGGGCGGAGGCGACGGGGGGAACGGTCCACCGGACCGCGGCGACCCGAACAGGCGCCGGGGAAGCGGAGGTGGCAAACCCAGCAAGAAGCCGAGCAAGGCCGCCAGGGACAGGGAACGCAACCTGTTCCGGAAAGGGAGCAAAGGAAAGGGGGGTCGTTCTCACCTGCAGCTGACTTTTGGGAAAGCACTGAAGCTAGCTGTCGCCACGGCTACGAGCCGGTCGCGGGCGTCCCGGCTCCGGACCTGGGATCGAGCCATCCAGCACCTTGCGGAACAGGAGCTGGTCCGGGTCGAGCCGGACGGGCGCAAGCTCAACCCGGAGCTACTCAAGGCGGGCACTGCCTACCTGCGGGCCCGGGGCTATAGGTCAGCAGAATTGTACGCCAGCACTGCAATGACCCGTCACAAAGCAGTGTACCCAGTACCCGGGGCGCTGGAGATCGCCGCGCGGGAGGCGACCCGCTTTGCGCGGCGGGCCAATGCCCCGCCGCGAGGCAAACAACCGGCCCCCATGCCTCAGCCGGAAAACCCCTTGTTTGAGGCGTTGTGCACTGGGATATGGTATCTCCTCCGGGTGTCGGAACTGACAGCGCTGAACCTGGGAGACGTCCTGTGCACCCAAGGGCCCGGCGAGATGCGGGTCGCCCTCCACGTCCGAAAGTCCAAAACGGACCAAGAGGAGGCAGGCGAGCTCGTCGCGCGGGCCTGCACGTGCGAGGCGCTTGAGGCACGGCCCTGGTGCCCGGCCCACACCGCATGGAACCATGCCCGCAAGCGCATGGGCTCCCTTAGGGAAATGGGAGGACGAGCGCCGGGAGCCCCGCTGTTCACGGACGCGGACGGGCACCGCCTGACCCAGAAGACCGTCACAGAGGCCATCGAATACGCGGCCGCAAGGGACGGGCAGGAAATACGTAAGGACGGGTGGGCATGCTTCGGGTCGCACAGCCTACGGGTCGCCGGGGCAATTGCGGCCTTTGAGGCCGGGCTCCAGGAGGAGACAGTGAAGGCGCTGGGACGCTGGACCTCCACCAAGGCGATGTATGCCTACCTGAGGGGTACACCATACACGAAGGCAGCCTGGGCCTCCAAACCCATGGCACAAGTTTTGATGCGCAACGCCCGGAGCCGGACAGGTGCCTTCCACCCCCTTCCGATGGAAAGCAGTATCGAAGGAAAGGGGAAGGGAGCGGGCAAGAATGTCGAAGAATTGGGAGGCAACCTGACGGTCCGGAACAGCCTAACCGGCCTGATCCACAGGGTAGGGCAAACTACAGGCCCACCCGAGGACTGGATCACGTGGTGTGGCTGGAGATGGGCTGCCACCGGGGCAGCGGGGGCCTACACCTTGAAGGACGGGGCCGCATGCACCCGGTGCTTTCGGCACGCCTGACGCCAGGGCGCGAAGCAGGCTTCAAGGAGGGCATTGGAGCACCCTGGCATATTAAGTTGATTAGCCAGTAAGGACTGGGGGAACAAGGCCAACAAATTAGGGGGTCTTACCAAGGGGTAAGAACGCACCTTTGGTTTGGTCTATGTAGGAGAAAAGTCTCCTGTACAATAAAGGGCTTTACCTCCCACAAAGGTGTATGGTAAGGACGTAAACCCTAAAAGGAGATGGTCATCCAGCAAGGGCTGGTCTACCACCCAATTTAGAAGGGGGAAAAGAAACCTATGGGTGTTTCCCCCACATGTCCCCACCATTTGGTCTCACGGCTGCGAAACCAAGGACGAAGAAACGCTGCAGCCCAGACCACCGCAGCACTCGTCTGGAAAAAGAGAGTGCATGATTGAGGGCGGTCGGGTGGGGGAGTGACAAGTTGAGGCGATCGAGTTGTTGGGGAATGCAACTTGTTGCATGAATTAACAACTAGGAGCCGGCACTTGTTGGTGGGATGGTTGGTGTCCAAGCATAACTTTGATGGTGGCCATGTTGGATCAAGGTTTAAAGCTGGAGGGCTCCTTCCCTGGGCTTTTCCCCCACCCACCTCATCCCAAGGAAAACCCAGGGCATTGGAGCACCCTGGCATATTAAGTTGATTAGCCAGTAAGGACTGGGGGAACAAGGCCAACAAATTAGGGGGTCTTACCAAGGGGTAAGAACGCACCTTTGGTTTGGTCTATGTAGGAGAAAAGTCTCCTGTACAATAAAGGGCTTTACCTCCCACAAAGGTGTATGGTAAGGACGTAAACCCTAAAAGGAGATGGTCATCCAGCAAGGGCTGGTCTACCACCCAATTTAGAAGGGGGAAAAGAAACCTATGGGTGTTTCCCCCACATGTCCCCACCATTTGGTCTCACGGCTGCGAAACCAAGGACGAAGAAACGCTGCAGCCCAGACCACCGCAGCACTCGTCTGGAAAAAGAGAGTGCATGATTGAGGGCGGTCGGGTGGGGGAGTGACAAGTTGAGGCGATCGAGTTGTTATATATATAAATATTGTAATATATATATATAATATGTATAATATACATATATACAAGTTACAGATGGAATTGAATGTCAATTTTGATCCCATCACTAATGATGACCAAAGAAAAAACATGTTTCAAAGTTACAAAAGTAGCAGCATTTGATCACTATTTGCAACTTTAGCAACATCATCTGAGTTCCATACAACATTTTGGGACTCCTATGTTGGAAAGTTCTGACATACCAGCATGTCACGTGCCAACTTGCTGGGCCAGGCGATGGCTGATGTTACTCTGTCGGACGGTTTTGCTCAAGGAAAGCACGTGGCTCGGGCGTTTGAGACGTCCTGGTGTTGCTCCACTGTCCAAAATGGAGTTCAGCCCGTTTGAAGCTTGTGATTTACCATCTTCTAATTTAACATAGCTATGGAACATGGTCATTTCTACTAGGTAAAACAATTAAGTATAAATCGGCCATTCTTAAATTACCAGAATTTAACCATCAAAACATGGGGATAATAATGGGTATATAATGATGGAATATATAATTGACTTGTTATGACATATGGGTCTGTCTTGGGGGATACCTCAAAGTTGTGCCATTTCGTTTGGGGAAACAGCGCGACCAAAAAAAGGTGCCCCTCCACTGAGACTCCGCCCTATATCTGTTGAATGTGACCAGCCAAAGTGGGGGATACAATCGAGAAGTGATGATACCCTCTGGTAATTTAACATAGCTATGGAAAATCACCATGCTATTAATGGGAAAATCCACTATTTCTATGGCCATTTTCAATAGCTATGTTAGTTTACCAGAGGGTATGTGCAAATAAATGGTACAAATTGACTCAGAAGTGATTATATGTCACTTTTAGGAGATAAAGTGTAAGACTGTCCAGTTTTTGGGGACAAACACTTTTCATCACAGCCACATGGTCTGCAAGTCACTAGACTTGATGATGTCTTCTGGATTTTTCATCTTCCAGTTCTTCTGTCATGCCATCTTTCCAACCCTTCTGTCACCAAATATACTGTACAGTTTGTTGGAGACAGAATATAGTTTATATGTATAGTATATATGCTATAATGGTGCAGTCTCTTGTACCCTACATTTCAAATTTAGCAGGATACTTTCTTTGCAAGAAGCCTCGTTCAGTAGATTCCTTATCAACGGTAGCAATGATATGCACCTGGCTGATTCTTTTGATGGGAGAATTCAGTGGCAAGAACAAAGGAAATGACATTGGCCTTGAAAATGATGTTCTATTCAGTTTCAAACAGCAAGCAGGCAACGTATTAGTCCAGAGTCCATAACGACATAGGGCAGTTTGATTAGCTACGAAATTGAGCATCCTTGCATCTGTTGATTTTTCTTGGGTAAATGTTGATTTTTCCATGGTTGAATCACATGGGTCATTAAATGTCCCCATTGAACATCACCCAACCATTAGGTATATGGTCTATAATGGCTACTATTTTGGGTGATGTCCAATATTCCCAAGATGGGACAGTTTCATAAGGATCCACTCCCACCAGCCTTGGGATACCGCGAGGTGGAGCTGAGTGCTGTGCGCCTCAGCTGACGATTCGTCGCGGCTTCAATCGTCGCAAAAAGAAACGTCTGTGGGCTGGAGAACATGTTGTGTTAGGGTATAACCTCTATAGAAAGGACACCTCTAATATACCCTAACATATATATGGTTCTGAGACCATAGATGAGAAACATCTGTATTCTTAGGGTATAGAAAGGTTCCCCATATGGTAAACCTCATGTTATGTTCCTATTGTAGGTTTTGAAACTGCTGCTACCATTATCTGTTATCTAAAAATGCCACAACATGGGGTATCCGTCATTTTTGGTCAAAACCACATGAAGAAATCAAGGTGAACAGATAAAGATCTTACTGGCTGACACCGTGTAAAGGATGGTCTATAGGTAGATCAAAAAAAATCGATTTGACCAACACTGGGACATAACAGGCTTGAAACAGCCTGAAATCAGATTTAAGATTTGTGGATCATGGCTGGCAATGACCCAAATTCAGGAAAATCACCAGCTGCGATTTCCTGTCGTCATGTTAGCTGAAACTGCAAGAGTTTGCAACATGGATTTTTGCTCACAGTTCACCTCACGCATCTTCCGCAAGCCAGAGTTCCTGTGCCTTTGAGCCATACTGGCCAACGTAAGGAACCGAATTCGATGTTTTCCCCGATGTTCCTTGGAATCTCTGAATCTTACCGTCTTTTTTTCCACAGAAACTCATGAAACCTCCAATGGTTTCCTGCGACGAGGGGTTCACAGGAGTTCCAATATGTTCCAATGCCGTTCTGACACATTTCCAGTGGGAACAATGATGGAAATTTACTTTCTGTTATGGAAATTATGCAACATAGAAACGGAAAATCCCACCATCTATGGATGATGGATCATTTCCTATGGAAACAACTCGGTGTTTTTCTAAGTTCAGTTGCTGCGAAGCACACTGCCATGTTCCTTTTGAAAAGTCACTGACTTCCAAGATGTGGAGCCTACTTCCAGCGAGACACCTGACGTGGCTTTCTACTTTTCCTATTCTCATCCCAATCTGTTGGATGTCTTTTTAGTGCTGGCTCAGCTAAAGTGGCGCGTCCACGACCCGGGCGCCGTGATGAAGAAGGTGGTGCTGTTCGCGCAGGACTGAGTTCACGCATTGGTAAACTCACATAGATGCGGAGAATTCATAGGGAACCCGCTAACTTCAAGAAAAGATATTTGGTATCGAAGAAATTGGATGGTGAAGATGGTGAATGACTAAGGAACATAAGGAACAACCACAATTCATAGGTCCTCAGTTTTTAGGTGTTGAAATCCAGTGGCAGTTTTGGTCAGAAGTTTTAAGCGGTAGCTGGTCTTTTTGGTGAACATGATACAAACCATTTTTTTTGGTGTTTAAGCAAAACAACATATTTTGTTGGTTCAATCAGGTCGTGCCTTACCTCAAACACATATCCAATCTTTGGGTTTAAACTATTTTTCTTGTTTTGACTGGTTGTAAACATGGTTGTAACAATATCAAAGATTGGTTTAAACAGCATTTGGGTTTAAACCATGTTCAAACACATATCTTGGTTTAAACCAATATTTTGGTTGGGTAAAACAGCCAATGCTTTGTTGCAACCAACAGAATGACGCACGCCCAAACGTGCAACCGAACACCCCAGCCAGGATGATCATGCTGCAGCCGAATGTTTGGTGCCGGGTGCTCAGTCAACATCCAGGGGTGATGACCATGACGCCATCACCATCGGGAGAAACACATGATACATGACCATGATAAGCAATACTATATATATATGTAATTATGTGTATATAATATATATATATATGTATGTATAGAGTGATAACATATAGGAATTATATACTATATAGTAATAAATTATATATGTATAGTATATATATATATTATACATATGATAGTCTTTACTATCAGTAGTCGTGCAATTAGTATAGTGTCACTGATGTTCTTACTGTTCTCATCATCCAACCCTTCACAACAAAAACAGCAATTCCCAACAGAGGTATCCCATCTATGGATGGGCCGTTCACTCCCGCATGAAACTGGAGATCTCCGGTCTATCGCTCGGCAAAGCAACCATAGGTATTAACCCAAAAACCAAAGTTTGGATGCTGCACATCCACTTTTCTGGTTCATCCCTGGTTCATTCCAAGTCATTCAAGTATTTGAGTATTGAAACCCATGGTTTTTTGATGTTTTTTGGGATTCCCCATTTTCAGAACCTCCCCATATATCAGCTTAAATATCCCATGAAATCTGGGACCAAGGCCTTTGACCTCGAACTACAGAGTCCTAGGCCGTGGGACGGTGAGTTTTTCACCGCTATGACCGTGCCATGAACACTTGTGATCTGGGGAAACCAAGAGAAAGTCTAGGCCCTAGGCAGATGATGCTTTTGCATGTTTTCTTTGTCATTTTTTCTGAAACATTCGAGCGATTTCGAGCGATATGTACATCCAAATTTGACCATGAATCTGGTCATTTTGATCTGGATGGGACACCAACATCTGCTCGGATGTACCAACATATGCTCCATGTTGCTGGAATATTTACCAACATTTGCTCTGAAAATCACCCAGTTTTGTAGGTAAATATACCATACATGGATATATATGGAGCATCTGGGTTATATCAATACCATATTTGGGCCTACCATATTTCGGAGGACCAGCAATGAAAACCTCGGTTTTTCCATTGATTTCCCAATATTTCTGGGGAACGCCAGGCGTGGGCCATGGCGCCACTACCTCCATTTTTGCCAGGCGTTGAGACGTTGGTGATTTAAGCAACAAACATGGTGGTACAACAGGGATATACCATCTGGTTATTTGACATAGCCATGGAAAATGGCCCCTCTATAGATGGTTTACCTATGAAAATGGTGATTTTCCATGGCTATGTTAAACCAGAGGGTAATAGGGATATGATGGCTCATTTAAGAACAGTTTGAGATCTGATCAAACTGTTCATGGGACGTGACCAGTGAACATGATATAATCTAGAAAACATCTGCGGAAGACGGAATTGATATTAGCAGCTGAAATGGAATCACCATGTTTTGGGACGTTTGTTAAAGTGACTTGATTGGTTTCTCTAGATAGAGATTGATAGCTAGCAGCAGCTAACATTAAAGTGAGCTACCATGAGTGGTGATTTTGCAAAGTCCACCGAGGCGAACTTCAAAGTACAACTGGCTTTGTTCGATACATGATTGAGTCATTCGCAAGACTTGGACTCACTGAAGCCAGCGAACTTCTGTCGCAAGGGCTCCAAGGGCTCAAATGACTACGGGCACTTGTGATGCAATGGCACCAGCGAGGATGCCTGGGGAGGAGGATGCCTGGCTCATGGCAGTGATGGCAGCTGCTCGGATTTTGAAGGGTCAGATGGTGTCGGTGTGGGCCTGTGATGCTTCACACATCACAACTTCCCAGTGAGATGTGCACAAAGATTCGAAGGTCCTTCAGGATGTGAGGCCTTTGCGTGGAGTGGTTTGCTCAGAAGCTATGCAACTGTAGATATTGGTGACTGTGGGTTGAGCAACCACATAAGTTTTTCTTCGGTCATCCACCCGGCCAAAGATCAGAGCCAATGCCAGACACTACCAGATTCATCTGTTGCGTGCACCTCTGTGTGGAACGACGCGTTTCGCGTTTTCTCTTCGCGACGGAATGTTTGACATTCCCTTTTTGTTTATACACAGCAATACTGTAATTGACAGATTTACAAGTGATAGTTCCCGACCGCCGATTCCCATCCATTTGATGATTGAAATTCAATCGACAGTTTTTTTCGCACTGTCTTTGACCGATTTCCAAGTGATGCCGGCCACTGGGCGTTGGTTTGGGAGGTGACTGAAGAGGACTTCAGGGTGTCTGGTGGGAGAAGAGGAAGAAATTGGTCAGCTTGCAACATTCAACAAATTGATATTCATTCAAGGGCATTTGTGGTTGGCACTGGACAATCTTGACATATTTTGACACATTCAGTGGTTGGAAACAGGGATGATGATCTCAGATATAAAGAGACGACCGGGAAGGTCGAAGCTATACCACTGATGGTTGAGAAAGAAGCAGCAACTTGAAAGGTCTCTTCGAGACCAAGCAGGGCAGCTGGAATAGAGCCACAGGGTGCTGAAACATTTGGACATGGGGCAAACTTGGCGCGGATGCAAGGATGAAAAAAGAGCGATGGTCTAGACACCATGTCTCTAATGGCTCGAAAAACGAACCGTGGTTTAGACCAAACCAGGGTTCGTCTTTCAAGCCAGAAGAGGTGAAGAAGCTCGCGGCGTTGGAACTGTATCCCAGAACTGGTTTATTGAGTGACAGAACCCATGTTCTGGCACGGAGTTCAATATGAACCCGTATGAAGAGAGGGAGGTGGAGCAGCAAATTGCGTGACCAAGTTGCCCTGAGAAAAGACGGTCATCACATCCAGCACTCCGTGTGTCACCATGGACGTAAATCCAACCCAGAAAAACTATTCCTGAAGCCGAGCATATTCGAACCTCATGGAGATTTCATCGAGATTTTGCGGAAGATCCATTAAAAAAACCAAAAAAACCCAATAAAACCAGAAAAAACATCCAAAAACCCAATCTCAAATCAGAAATCCCTATAAATATCACTCACCATTTTTCACCACCCATTCGAATCCAAAAATCGCAGGAATTTCCCAAGTCCTCCCCACGACGCGCCAGCCGCGACATGCCACGTGCCAGGCGTTGCGTCGAGCTGGGCTTCGCCTTTGCCAATGCCTTGGAGGATCAGGTGGTCGCTGGAGCCATGGAGAAGTTCCAACCCGACCTCACGGTGCGCGGCGCAGCGTTGACGGTGTTGACGCGAAAAAGGGGTGCACTGGGGGAGGAATACTTTCTGGGATATATGTAGTATATATATATATTTATTTATTCATATATTGACATATTTATACGTGTATATATATATATATTTGTATTTATGTTATAGACACATAGAACCAACAATAGTAGTGAAATGGTTGCGGTGATGATGATATGTTAATGAATAATATACCGCGCTTGGATAATTTACCGATAGTAACAAAATGTAATATGATACGATATTTGGATGGGTTTACCATTCACCATACGATAATTTTGCCAATAATGATTACATCAGAGAATGATATAGTAATGATGGTAAATGAGATGGTGAATGGGGAGATGATGCGGTAAGATGATATGGTGAATGATGTGGTAAGATGATGTGGCAGCAAGTATATTTTGTTGAATGATATGGTACAGCAAATGATGCGATAAACCAATGGTAAACTAATGGTAAATGAAGTTTTTTTCCTGTTCATAAGGAACTACCAGTACACTAACATAGCTATTGAACTTTTTTTTGACAAATTGGCCATAGAAATAGTTGATTTACCTATAAACAATGGTGTTTTTTCAATAGTTATGCTAGTTTACCAGCTGGTCGTCCAGGTACTGGTCCCGGACCTCACGGGTGCATTGCCCGGCTTCGCGTCGGCTTCGGCGCGAAACTACGTGGTGAAGGCGGAACGGGGCAGAGACTCGACCAGTGGATCCTTGTTACTTTTGGGATGGGGATTTCACCCTTTAATAGTTTGACATAGCTAAGGAAAATTGCCATTTATATAGTTGATTTTACCTAGTAAAAATTGTGATTTTCCATAGCTATGTTAGATTACCAGAGGGTAAGCCTCAAAACTGGGGAAAATGATCTGGAAATGATGTTGAACTGTGGTTTTTATGAGGAACTAAGATGATTTAAACATATTTAAACTATTTAAATGTAAAAACTGGGGATGTCATGCAGAAATGATGGATGATATTTGATCTACTTGTTTTGGCGTGTCTGGGGTACCCCTGTGAAGCAGAAACAGATGGTCCTTCTAGGAATGTGACACCATGCGCATTTCAGCTTAGATTTCGAAAAAAGGACTCACATCCATGCGGCTGTGTCTGAAAATGGGGTATACCCCCAACTATAGCTATTTTTCATGGGGAAAATGATGATTGACCAATGGGTTTAGGGGTGCCCCATTTCAACCCCATGTGTTGGTGAGGGGCTCGGCAGGTGGGACAAAAGATGACGGGAGCCCCCTGGCCAGTGCTGAAGCCCAGGGGCAAGAGATGTGCAGTGGAGTGTCGGGGCAAAGAAACAGTAAGTCTAAACCAAATTGGCACTGGCAACCAAACATGGCTTTTTGGGAAATCCCCTGTAAATGATTGTACTACTGTATTTTTTTTCGGAAAGCCATCCACGTAACTTTGGATCTCCTATCGACTTCAGAGACCTGGAGATGTGATGGGATCAAATTGTCGATGCACAACGATTTATGGCTCCGAAGGAAACCAGTGTTTACAATTTAGCTATCTGCAGTTCAAGCAAGCAACGCATGGAGACACGTACAGATGGCTACAGGAGTGTTAGGTCGTTTTGATCCTTTCAAACTCCACAATGCTGGAACTGTGAGTTTGCATTCAGAATGGGAGATTGACTCTGACAACGTCTGGTCGGTTTGTGTGTTACCTAGGCCATCCAGTCTTCTCAGTAAAGTTAGGCCAAGGTTTTGTTGTGGGTCAGAACCTATGAAATTCCAATATCTTGGGCAATAAACATCCATTAACCAGCTAGTTTAGATACCATCCAGGTGTTTTGACATCTGTTCCGAGGAGTTTGCGCCCATTTGGCTGAAGCAGGACCCAGAGATGGGGATTTGACAAAGCAACGCTGAGGTTTTCCCCTAGAATTTACCTGGATGGACAGCCTACACTGATTTGGTTGTAAAAACCAGGGTGTCGTTTTTTTTTCCTTAAGTACTAATAGTCATAGCCACAGGATCCATCATTGATCCTTGGCATCTCAGACATCGAAGAGTTGTTTATACAATTTTACTGATTAATAGACATGATTATATCCACGAATCTTAAGAGGGGACCAGGTCCCCAGGTCCGAGAGTCAGTGGAGGTATTATTCTCAAAACCCAAGTCCTTGCCCTGATCAAAGAACATATTTTTTCCAACATTTCTTGGTGCTTCATCCTACTTCGTAAACAGATAATCACCCTGTTGTATATGGACCAATCCTACTTATCCCATTTACAAGTAGGTTTACAACCTGCTTACGAAGTCTTGAAGTAGGAACCACCAAGTTGGCAATTCTTGGATCAGCTTTGAAACTCGAAAGTGTTGAGAACTTGACAGTCCAACTGTGGTGGTTTGGCAAACATTTGGGAACCACAAGTGCCTACCGTGTTTGGCTAGGACAGTCGCGTCTCCATTTGCAGAGGGGGAGAAGAGGCCTGGCACCCCAATGCCAGGAACGGGGCCATGACATGGCAAAGGGGTTTGGGTCGCCTCAGAACTCTGCTGGTAGGAAAGTGCTTGTCATGACGATTTTGATCAGCAAAGTATCGAAGTATTTGTCAGGTAATCAGGATTCTCTGGATTTTGCGCGTACCAACCGTCCAAACCTCACAAAGTTTACGGCTGTTGTGGCTTGTGGGATTCGGTTTACCGATTTCAATAGATGTAATCAGAACCGTCACTAAGAAGGAATCACTTTTCCTCCATTTTTTCCGCTGGATTTACCTTCACTTTCTGACTTGGCAGCAACTCTCGAAGATGGCTCATCTGTAGTTTCACTCATTCGAATTTCGAATTCATGCGACATTTTCAGCTTTGAACACCCATATTTTGGATGATTACCATCCTCTAAACTTCTAAACTAACATAGATGCGGGAAAGCCACCATTTGTAGGCCATTTTCAGAACGGTTCCCCGTGGGTTTCCACATCCTTTTGTATGTTTACCCCAGGGTATCCCCAATGACAAGTTACAATCGTGAGCCTCCCCCGTGTGATTTAGGACTCACACATCCCAATTTGCCAGACACACTTTTAAAAAATGGTCAATCCTGGCAGAATCCATGGATATCCCCCTCTGTATATACCCTCTGGTAATTTCACAGTTCGCCATGGCAGAGATGGCCCAGAGAAAAAGATGATTTTCCCAGCTATAAACCTCCATGAAAATTTTGGGGATTTTCCATGGCTAGGTCATTTTCCAATGGAGATCTGCAGATGATCCCCTGCAGTTGAGATGATCCCCTGGAGTCTGTGATCGCAGGTTGGAGCGGAGGTAGTTCCCGTGGGCAAAGAGGAGACGGCCCTGTCCTTGCGTCGCTTGGCGTGTGGCAGTCACCCTAGCCATGGTAGCTATATCATATTTGTTGGTTGGATAGAGGAATGAGGGACTCATTGGTTTGAAGAAAAAACATCAGGAAACTTTAATCATCAGGAAAACAAACTCCAGTGAGAGACTTTGGCGGAAACGTCTGCCCGCAGGTGCCAAGCACGCCTTGGTGGCTGCGCGACTTTTGAAAATTCTCTTGGAGGAGGGCGAAGGCGCGATATCTCAGATAGCATAATGGCTATGGAGCATTAATTGAAGGCGGGACAGCAGATTTTGGTTCGATTTTTGGGGTACACAACTCTGACGCATACACACATGGTCGTCAACAGAAAATGGAGGAAGATCTGGTGATTGATTTCTACGTTTATTAACAAACAGGAAGTAAGTGGGAGTTTGATCCCAGAAGATACGGTGATGATCGGTGATGTATAACCGTAACAGGTAACGACGATTTTGAACCATTGTGACAATACTGTAAATCATCGATGGTTGGAGTTATCCAGTTTGTACATGGGATAGTAACCTGGGTTTGCCACATCATAGCTGCAACAGACTATGTTTTACCAATTCATTTCATGTGCTTACTCTCACTGATTCGAACCGCAATTCAGCTGTTGCAATCATCATTATTTGTCTCATTTCAACACGAATCAGCCCTGCGGAAAGTCTGAAACAATCCATTTCACTCCCATCTTTCGATCATCCCAGACTTGGTTTATGGGAATTTCTATGGGACCAATTGGGGATAACAGCCAAGGTTTTCTGCATCATTTCCTAGAAACCAATCCATTGATCATCATGATTTTTACTGATGAAACCTCCATTTGTTGGTGGTTGAATTACCAATTTTGTTGGTTAAAGCACCATTTCTATCATTTTTTACTCGTTGAATCCCCATTTTTGTTGGCAGATCTCCACTTTCCATTGGAGACTTCGCAGTCTCCAGGCGCTTTGCCAAAGCTGGACGCCTCCAATTGGAATTTCGAGGCTGAGGTGCAACTTGGGTGGTGAAGTCATCAAACAATGGAGGTTTAGTTCGCTGGACAATTTTTAACGAAGTAAATGAATGTCAATGACGGATTTGATGTCACCGAGGGTATCCTCAAATTTGATCGTTTATCATCATGTTCCCTATTAAAACGGTCATTTCGCGGTATATACCATTTTGCGAATTAGCAAGGAATGGATTACCAAAGAACAAACCACCGAGTTAAAACCTGAATTTGGAATTCACAATTTTAAACGAATAAAACATATAAACAAAATGGGGGATCTAACCAAAAATGTCCCAGAAATTGAAGGCGATGGAAATGCCAGTAGTGGATTCTGGGTGACCGATATGGATGATATGGTCTGGGGATTCGACCTACAGCCTCCAAGTTGGTAGCCTCTCCATTTTCAACAAGTGGCCAACTATCATTTAGTAAAACGTAGTGATTAGTGGTTAGTAACCATAGTTTTCACTCAGATCATATTGTTGTTTTTTTTTTAGGGGACCATTTCCTGTGCCAGGCACCCAAACAGATTGACTTGAAGTGGGACGAGGAGAAGCGTGGGGCTGTGATTTGTAGCAACTGAGAAGGGCTGCGTGATGCCAGCATTGCGAAAGCCCTGAAGAGGATGTCGTCTGAAGGATGTAGGACGTACAGTAGATGGCTGGAGGCTCAAAAATGCCATGGATAATGCCATCATGAGGAATCTGAATACATCAATGCACATAAACCCAACTTCAAATATTCATAAAGGGAGCACAAATTGATCTATAAAATGTAAAACATAAAATTCTTAAAAGGAGACAATGAGCACGCCAATCACAACACCACAACGCCGCTGAGAATTTTATCAGGATTTATGGTGCTCATATTTGGAGGGTACGACTATTGCTTCCTGCAGAATTCTCCTCAAGTCAATCCATTCAGTGTCCGAATCTTCATTTATCACGCTTCAACCTTCATTTTCACAATTAAACCGTCATTTTTCATGGTTAGCTATGGTTAACTCATGTTAAACCCCCCATTTTTCCATGGCCAACTCCCATTTTTCGATGGCCAAATCCACCCATTTTCCTGGAACCGCCAGGACACCACAGATCGCTTCATCCGTGGCAGTCTCTTCCCGCCCCACGACCCGGCGGTGGGGCACCCCAGGGCGCCCGAACAAATACAGTAGCCGTATTTGAGTGTCCTTCCTATGTTTATTTGCGTGATTTCTCTATGTTTCTATTGGGATCTATTAGGTGTTTTTGCTGTTGATACTTTCTGATCTCAGTGATGTGATGTTTGAGATACCAGGTGGCATTGGTTATCACATCACAATTTACCCATCCTGAGCCCGGAAAGAAAAGAGACCTGGAGACTGGAGACCTTTCCGTTTTCAGGGTGATGGATGTGTGACTGCACTGGATATACTGGATGCTTGATACCACAGGGGTACACATACAATGATAGGCCCGGCATATAATTAGCAATGGGGCTAGAACATATTGTACCCCCCCCAGCAATCGGTGATTCTAAGCCAAACACGACATTCCGATACATTGGGTACATCACCACGTTTCTCGATTAAGAAAATCAGTTAAGGCATATGGGGGTTTCCACAAATGGGGGTACCCCTAAATCATCCATTTATAGGATTTCCCCTAACCATCCATTTTCCATTTATGGAAAGCCTCATTTTTTTCAACCCAGCCATGACTTGCCGTTTTTGTCTCCTTGGAACCGTGGGGACCTAAGGATCCCAGCCGTTCGTTGCCGCAGTGCCTGAGGTGGTGGAAGTTCCAGGCAAAGGTGAGACGTACTTCATCGAGAGTATGGAGTTGCTGGGCGTTTTTTTTTTTGATTTCGGGGGGTTACCACTGTGAATGGTGAAGAACCGTTGGGTGGTTTTTTGGTTTCAGTTACTGTTTTTAATGAATGTATTGATATTATATACATGATGTACTATATAGTTGGTTTGGGCAATGTTTGCCATTCTGCCCTTCTTCTGAGAATCGCTGTGATTTTTTTGAAAAATATCCCGACACAAAGTGATGCAACATGAATCTTGTGTGTAATTTTTGCGCAGATTCGTCACCAGTTTTCCATGCATGGATGACCATGTTTCCAGGTCAGACAACTTGGAAATCTTGGAAGTTGACATCTGTTTGAACTTCGAAGTTTAGGTCCCCTACAAATGAATAGATCAAACATGATCAAACCCATAGTGAACTGAACCTTAAACACATTCAAAGAAGACAATTGGATGAAAAAAGAGTCATATGGTACTCCTGAACCTGTAAAAATCCGATCCAATTTGATCCAACTTGAAGCTCGTGAGCCATGCCGCAGAGCCCACTATGTTGATTGGGGCAGTGGACCGACTTTGTAGGTCCAAAGTAGCTCTTGTCCGAGGCAATTCAACGATTTCCGAATGAAGGCAACTTGACCCGCATCTATTTGGGCCGACCCTGACATTGATATGGGGGTTTCCTAAAATCGGGGTACCCCTAAATCATCCATTTCTAGATTGGACGTTCCATTGTAAACCATCCATTTTGGGGTACTATGTGGAATCCAGGCCAACAGCCATGTTGGAACTATATATAGACTTTGCATTATATACAAAAACCATAGTACCCCTTCCAGTCAAACCTAAGGGGAAAAAATCAGCCAAATGCCAATATTATCTTGTTGATCAGAACTTGGAATATGCTGAAACAGAGTTTAAACTTTCACAGCAAAGTTTTACTTGGAACCGTATTGTTAACTGGACCCGTCACCACCAGTGTCCTATCTTCCCTGGTGAATGGGTCTCGCAATCAGGCGCCCTGAAGGATCTTGGAAATAGTTTTTGGGTCCCTGCTGTTAAACTGACTGCATCTTTAACCACCGGTGCCCTGCCGTATCAAAAACTACATTCTATTTTTGTTACCCCAATGGGGAAAAAGAGAAAAATGTGTATGCCATTCCGTCCTTAGTGGACACACAGATCGGCACCTGTGTATCCACCCTGGGAGGATGCATTCATTTGCATTCGATCCGGCATCTGTCATTTTGCATCCGTGCATTCGACTGTCCCATGGTGTGTCTCGTCGTCACCCCTGAATTTGTTGTTTTTTGTTGGTTTTGTTTGTGTTTTTTTGTTTTTAATTAATGATCACAATCATTGGTGGGGACTTCACGCGTAGCTGGTTGTCTCTACCGCTGTCACACGGCATTAAAGTCAAAGGCGGAAAATCCATTTTGGGGTACTCCCATTCTTGGGAAACCTGCATATATAGATGAAAAACCTGACCGTTCGAATTGAGTAGTACTGTCACCCTGAGTGCGACTCTTGCTATTTGAATGTGCTACAGTAATCCAAATGCCCCCTAGAACCCAAGTATTGGATCTATTCAAACGTATTCATTTTGGGGTCCCATAAAAGGAAGGGAAAACATCTGAAGAATTGGTGATATGAATCCCATTCAATCTGTCAGGATGGAGATTTTATCATGTTGCCCTCTGAGAATTTAACATACCGGTAGCTATTGAAAATTGCCATTTACAGTTGATTTCCCCGTTAAAAACCATGATTTTCCATAGCGCTGTTACTTGTAGTTTACCAGAGGGCAACCTCCCATGTTTTGATGGGTAAACCATGGTCAACTCCCCCTGCGAGGTGCTTGAAGAGGCGGGCACTTTACGTGGCGATCACCCCAGAAGCTATGCCGCAGACACGTCCCTTGGCGATGGGTTGCAACGACATGAGCAGTTTGAGATTGTCTGAAAAATGGTGGATGAGTCACAAATCACCATTTTTAGTAGGCAAATCATCATTTTCACCATCAAATGGGCCACTTTCCATAGCTATCTTAAACAACCAGATGCACCCAAATTGCAACTGCAATAGTGGAAGATGATGATAAACCACTGCCCCTATGGGTTCCCTAAGTCATGGAGGACCCCAAGTTATCATCCAAGCTGTTGATCATTGTAAACAGGGAAACACCCATTGAACCGTTGCATGATCCACAAGCCTCGAAGATGGGAATTTTTCAGCAACAACAATGGTGAAAAAACTTGGTTTAACCACCTTAAAAAATGGAGGTTGTTCACAACCAAACATGGGGGAAAATCATCCAACAATGGTGTCAAAGATGGTGACAAAGATGGTTAGATGATGGTTAGATCACTTGCTAAAAGGGAGTGATATCACCTGGTTCATTGGGCATCTTGATACCCCATGAACCAGGAACCCTATTGTCAACCAATGTAAACCAACGAGTATAGATTGGAACTCCCCAGTAGCTTGTGTTAGGAAAAATAGCGGTTACGTAAAGAAATTCGTCTTGAACAATCAATACTAGGGTTTAATTAACCATAAACCAGCATTAATTTTGCCATTGGATCCAATTGTGTCATTTGGGTTTTAACAAACCTTATTGCCGCTGATGGTTTTTACCATTTTTGAAAACACCTTTTCCAGCAGATGATGTATCATACACGGTCCGTTAACCACTGCATTTGGTTGGTGGTTGGGAACTGACTTTGCATGTTTGTCCCTCCAAAAAATGGAATCATGACCACCACTAAGACTGGATCACATTGGTCTAAGATTGTGCTTACCAACCACAAACGCTTCGCGGGGCACGGTCATCGAAGCACTGCACCACGAAACCCTGAACCGATGGTAAAAAAACCCTATGGGTACCTGATTTCGGATGGATCCAGCTGTCCCGCTGTCCCTGTCTTGTCACAAAACGTTCTGCCCGGATCCCACCGATCCCACCGATCCCACCGAAATCCAGGGCCGGATGCCGCCGGAAAAAAACGAGGCATTGGTATTCGAATGTGGGTGGCAGCATCGTGAAGATGGGCGATTCGGACATCCACATGCCTTTGAAGACCTCGGACAAGAAGCACAAGGCCTCGGAGAAACTGGGGGGATGTGGCTATATGATATATATATATGATATATATATATGATATATATATATGATATATATATATATATGATATATATATATATATGATATATATATATGATATATATATATATGATATATATATATATGATATATATATATGATATATATATATATGATATATATATATATATGGGAATATATTTATAAAGGTGTATATATGGGGAACTGAGAAATATGATTGGTTGACGATTATTACTATTTTCATCTATTTTCTGGAAATATGATGATATGATGGGGATACAATAGGACATACTAAATAATTGGATAAATGATGTGGCGAAGTCAAGTCGCGACGTCATGATAAACGATGGTTTATATCTGGGGAGTCATCCCCAGAGCGAAGGTTCCGAATTGGTGTATCATTATGAATTTATATTCTGGTAAACATACAAAAAACTATGGAAAATCACCATGCTATCAATGGGTAAATCAACTATTTCTATGGCCATTTTCAATAGCTTTTTGACCAGAGGGTACCAGATAAGGTGGGGAGGGGGTATGGGGGAAGGGAATATGGGACGTCAGAAATGTGGATAAAAAGTCAATGAAAAGACGGGGAGAAAAGCAGATGCCAACAATCAACATGGGGATATCCCCTGCAAAAATGATGGATCTTACCAATAATCATGGGAAATTGACCTACAAATCGGGTAACGTACAAAGGTGGGAAATCGACACCGATATGACATAACGGACAGAAACTGGGGATTACGACCTACAGAAATGGATGTTCGATCAGGTCGGAGGAACTGGTAAAGCGACTACTGAATGATGGGATTGACGCCTCAAAAATGAGATGTTGATCCAAGGTTAGAATTAAAGCCGCAGAAACATGACTCAAGCAAGTAACTCACACCGTGAATGATTTAATGCATGATTTTACAGGATTTTACTGGGAATATTAGGGTATCACCAACAACCTTTGCAAACACAAAGTGGGGATATCCTTGGGCAAACCAGCTGATGAATGTTGGTGAAAATGGGTTAAATTTTCGTTTTGGGGTACCTAAGGCTAGCCATGGCAGGAACTGTGAATCAAAGAGGGGAGATATCGCCAACCAGAAAAGGCTGTAAATTTACAGTGATTTCCCATGTTCAAAACAAATATTCGAAACATCCTTGACTGTCCTTAACGACATTTTCCACCTAAAATATCTGTCCAAACAGGCCATCATTCCGGGTGCCGCCTTGGGCGCTCGAAAGAAGTTGCGAATGAACGAGCCACTGATCGGGCCCGGATGCCTAAGACGAGCCCGGCGGAACCCGATCGGGGGTGAATTCAGGTGAAATGGGTTGATCTTGGGCAAGAAATGGAGGAATATCATGACACATCATGAGGGGAATATTGTGAAGTATATTGAATTATGATGACATATTATGATGAAATATAATAGATGAAAATATGTCATATCCCACAAAATGTGACCTGTTGGGAGGGAAGCTAGAGTTGGAAGAGTTGACACTAATTCTTGGTTGATAATATACAATATAATATAATATAACATAATATAATTTAATATAACATAATATAATATAACACAATATAATATAATAGCATACAATACGACATAATACACTATAACATAATAAAATGAAATACAGCATAATATAATACAGCATAATATAATACACTATAATATGATATAATATAATACAACATGATATGATATAATATAATATGATATAATATAATATGATATGATATAATATAAATTAGGCTATATTTATACTACATGTATATATATATATATACAAATATATTTCTATCTTCCTAGAATTCACTATCTTTGAAGTGCATCTGGCGTGCCGACCTCACCCTGGATTGCATCGCCTGCTCAGGCCCAATGCCGAGCGCTACTGCAGCGCAGCTTTAGCCTCGGGTTGGATCGGTCCGGAGTCTCGGGCGTTGGGAGCTACCACGGCAGTTGGGGCTGGGTAGAACTTGGGATTGTAACTCCCCTACAAAAATAAAGGCCAAAAAAGAGCTTTTACCTCCAAGTTTACCAGTTTTTCAATTTTTGCAGATTTCAATCAATTTTCGGGTTGTTGCATCTTCACGTGAGATGTGACACATTCTACGATCCTAGACTTTTTGACGAATGATGCTTCAAGATTTGTTGGAATCAGACAGCAGTACAATCGCATTGGTCTCCAAGGTGTGTATCTATTTCAGGTTGCACGACAACAAAACACATAGGGGAAGTTGACCCTTAGACGTGCCGTGCACAACTTGTAAATGTGAGTACGTCTTGTAGGTCATGGAATTCGGACACGCAAAAACGCCTTGCATAAGGCATACGTTGAGTTCCCTTTGCATAAAGGAAACCTGTTCATCCGGATGGAAAAGGATGATCACGTCCATTTCTGGTTTCCAATATTGCTCGCCATCAACTACTTGGGATGATTCCAACTTCCAACAGTTGACCAACAGTTGACCAATATGTGTTGGGTTGAAAACATCAGAGTTGGAAGATTCATCTCTGTCGGTGCAGTAGTGCAATTCCTGAAATCGCCCTGCTCCTACTCACGACATCAGTAAATCTTAGGAGCGGGCATTGGGGCTTCTACCCTCTGGTTATTTAACATAGCTATGGAGAATGGCCCATAGAAATAGATGATTTTCCCAGCTATAAACCTCCATTTATTTTGGGGATTTTCCAGTTCGCTATGTTAGTCATAACCAGATGGTACCCAAAAAGATCTTTCGCCGTCAGAGCGCGTTTTTTGCGGTGAATCTGTGACCTGACAAGATTTCAGTAGCAAAGTGGTGCTAGGTTGAGGGATGAAGCTACGAAAATTTCGCTCCTGATTATTAAGTTTATTTAATCCAAATTTCTTCATTATTCCAAAATTCTTCATTGTTTGGTTGATTACCCTCTGGTAATTGAACAGTTTGCTATTGAACATGGTGATAGAAATCGTGGATGTTCCCATTGATAGCGTGGTGATTTTCCATTTTTTTTTGTAACGTTTACCAGGGTATAACATGGATGAGCTACTCATTCACCTCCAAGTCCGCTGAATTCATGCCAAAAAGCCGCACTGCGCGACGCACTGCTGGGAGACGTGGAATATGTTTTGCCTAACATCCAACAAGTGTCTACCATGGAAATGCCATGTTGAGACAGTCAAGAGATGTCAAGAGAACGTTTTTTTTTTTGTCTCTCCACTCTTCAGAGGCTTTCAATTGTTTTCAACATATAGGGGGTTGTTATATAAAAATCACCATTTCTCCACATTTGTTCAGAAACATCCTAGACATTCAGCTAAAATTCACCAGCTTGCAACGGTTGCGGTTGCGTTGCGGAGTCTCTGTGGAGCCATCGACGCTAGACGTGTCGCAATGGGCGGAGGCGCTTCGAAAGTGTCTGGACCCAAACTGTCGAACCTGTTGACAGGTCAGAGCAAGGCAGACAGGCGGGGGCAACATGATTTCCACCCAGATCTGGGATTTCCACCCAGAGAATCCCATAGATGGTATTCCAATCATAGTATATAATTACTTATCCCAATCATATCATATTTACGGTATACCCAGTAGTAGTATTTTATCCATCGAAAGATTTGGGACTTTGAAGCCATAATCATAAATAATAACAATGGCTACCTGGTGGATCAGCTGGCAGGGAGTTGGACGGGCCTAGCATTGGCCGACCTCACTGTAGATGATCAATAAATAGATTAAAACAATCACCATTATATATATATATAGATTAGATTAGATTAGATTAGATTAGATAGATAGACAGACAGACAGACAGATAGATATTATACATGGTCCTTAGTAGGGGAACTTATTTTTATGGAATGGCTGGAATTCTGAATTGGGAAACTCTGAACTAAAATCAGTCTAGCTGGAGGTCACGACTGTGTCGTTTGAATTTTATGGCTTTGTTTGTGGTCACATCTATCCTGGAAAGGTTGCATCTATTTGTACAGCATAGCTGGAATGATCTGGGCTTACTAGAAATATTTGGAAATATCACATAGATTCACAAATGATCTGGGTTTCATACAGAAATATCTGGAAATATCACATGTACGAAATCTCATGATTTCCTTCAGTCTCATACTGTTTCATACCGGTGATTTTTCTCATGAAATCTCGAGAAAAAATCCTGCAATCCTTCCGCCTTTGGCCAAGCCCTGCGTGCCAGAGTTGACTTTGATCGCGCCTTTGCGAAGTTTCCACCGACACCTTCGCGGACCTGGGGCTTTCAAGTCAAGAACGAGGCCGATGAATCGGGAACCGAAAAATGGTTGATGTGGGAAACCGTAGGCTGGGTGGAAAAAATGGGAGAACTGCTGAGAAAACGATGTTTTAATCACCAAAAAATGGTCTAATGGGATAATGGGATACAAATCTCATCAATATGTTTAATGGGATGAAGGGGATATAAAAATAGGAGATCTAACCAACCACAGGAGATGTGTTTTTTCATGATATTTGGGTTTGTCTGAAAACGGGGTGTACTTTCAAACGGCAATTTTTATAAAAACCATGGTCATGAAGCAATGGAGTTAGGGCCAGTTAGGGGTACCACATTTTCAGACAGACCCAACAGACCCATGTTTTCACTGAGAAGGGGATTCCCATCACCAATCCATTAAGATCATTAAGAGTTCATAGGGATTTATATAACCCATTCGAAGAATCCCCATTTTTGCATGGATAACAATAAACCACATACGATCTTTTGATCAAGGCACATATGTGCTATGGTCAAAGGGTGGATTTTACCAATAAAACTGTGTGAATTTTAATGGGATAACCAACTGGAATCAAGAGTTGGATTAGATTAACTTATATCACTTTCATGTTGGCCTGCTGGCTCTCAACTGTATATCATTTATCTTAGACGACTTGGTCATGGGCGTGGCCCGGGCGCGTGGTACTGTAATACTTGATCCGCAAGGCGGTACCATTTCTAAGCACGTGCGTTTGTGATGGTCACAACTGTTTCATTGCAATGTTTTGCTGTTCGGAAACCTGTTGATCAGCACTTACACAGACACCTGTTTTGGACCCGTCCATGTTGTATTGCTGCTTGGGTCTGGTTTTCGGTTCGTTAGAGACATATTTTGGTGGGTTGAAAACGGGTTGAACATCTACCCATAACCACCCGCATCTTCGTGACTCCCAGACTGCCAGACTTGGCTTTTGCAGAAAAAATCACAGGTAAACACCCTCATCTCTGAGAACATGTGATATATGGTAGAGAAAAACACATCTATCCCAGTTCTAAGCGTTCAAATCCATGGTGTTTTCACAACCCAAAAAGCCCTTTTTTTAGCTGATCCCAAAAGCAAGGCGCTCTATGCCAATGACAGTTGGCTCTCGACCCAGAAGCGCATCCGCATGAGCGACATCAATCGCCTCCTAGGATTGCGACCTTACCCCGGGAAACCTGCAGGCGCTGTGGCGTTTGGGAATCCCCAGTCGAAGCACCATAGGTTTCAAAAACCGAAAGTCATGGGGAATTATCATGTGATGATGTGGGGTTGCCCCCATGACTTAGGAAACAAAAAGGACGCCGCCAAAAATCGATCAAGCAATGGTGACTTAACCATATGAAAAAGCATCAAACATGGTGTTTTTTCATTGGGAACTTATCATGGGAATATGACATATACCATCCGGTGCCATCAAACATGGCAGGCTGGGAAATCCACGAAAAAAAACGGTGGTGTATAGCCTTATAGCTGGCAACATCAACTATGAATGATTTCAGTTGCCACGTTGAGGGGAGTTTCTGGATCGATTTCCAATCTATTGATTGTACACCTTACAACAACCACGCTATAGCCAGCCTTTTTCTGCAGATTTCCCTTCAAGCCAATTCTGAGATGGTGGACTGTCCCTGATGGGTTTCTTTCGCAGACTTGGATAACGTCAACAACGGCAGGTTTTTTCCTCATGTTTTCGATCCTATTTGATGCTCAAAAAACACCCATAGTTTCACCCTGTTTCACCTCAAAAAAATCGAAAACCAGTCCCAAATGTCCAAACATATTTCATCACCATATCATTCTATGAACATTTCCACATCTGCCAATATGTCATTCCGTTCAGGTGGCAAGGTCCGTGACCTGGATATCATCAACATGGTCTGGGGCAACCCTCAATGGATCGATCCCGATGAAGATCAGAACTACAACCTGAACTTCACGCGGCAGCAGCACCATGACATGGGACCACAAGGATAAAAAACATGGGGATACATACCCTCTGGTAAACTAACATAGCTATGGAAAATCACCATTTTTAATGGGAAAACTCACTATAAATGGCAATTTACAATAGCAAACTGTTAAATTACCAGAGGGTATGGGCTTCAGATGGGTGAATTCTATCAGAAAAACAAAAAAATGGGTTGTTGGAAAAGATAGGGGTCATTTGGGTGAAATTATTCATGATGTCACATGTCTGAGCCATGAGTGAAATGATGTCAAATTAGTGAGCGTTAATTCTCACAAAGGTAAGGAAGTGAATCACCCTTTAGATGTTCGGGTGTCGGCATAGATTTTCTGGCATTATCTTTTTTTTTTTTACGACTCAAGTATCCCTATTGTTTGAAACTCATCACATGTGCCATGTTCAAACTGAACTAGCTGATGGGAGCCTGGATGGTCATCCTTCTGTTCATCGGAGTTTTATGTAGTTTCTATCATTTTCTACAATATGCCGAGAAACCTATTCATGATGACCAGGCTTCATCTGAGAATTCGGTGCCAGGACTTGTGCTGTCCGCAGTCTCTACCGAAGTTCTGGCAGATGAGAGACACAAGCTCCAGTCTCAACGCCTGAGATGGACTCGCTTCCTGTAATTTCTTTATGTATGTAGTTTATTTTGAGAGTGTTGACATGGGTCAAAATTGAAGACACCTCCATCATTGAAAAGTAGGAAACCCTTGCAGATAGCCATGTCCAAGAGAAGATAAGCTCGCAGCGCTTTCCTGTTGCCTTGATTCACTTGTCAAGATGACCAGTTGATCTACAGTTCGCGGGTAATCTTCACCCTACCCATTGTCTTGATCCGAGAGTCAACCTAGGGCCCAAAGTCAGGCTCTAAGTCTCCCTGGCACTAGCTGAAGTGTGGACCACGCAAAGGTTGTGACCCCGCGATTTTCCATGGAGTTTCTTGCCAGACTGGTGATTTCTGATGGTCTCCTGTGATGAACAGGTCATGAGGATCGCTCACTGCTTCTCAAAGACAAGATCCAAAGAGATCTTCAAGTTGACAAAAGGTTGGTCTTTAACAGCGTGTTTAGGGTCATCTATTCTGCATGGAAAAATCAACCTACCCATAAAAAGATAACTGGGATGGACTGGCCTCAAAAACATCGGGGGAACAACATGGCAATAGTGGAGCTTCTAAGGGTCAGAAGTTCTACCGCCTCTCTTTTTGCGGTGAACTTCCCGTTGCTATTTTTTGGGGGACCTGGTGGTATGCTATGTGGATATCAACAAGGCAATTTCGTTGAATCATAGCCATGGAGACATTCAACCCGCGGGCTTGCCATCGCCCATCTTCAAGTGATGCAAGTGATGTCTGAAAATATGGCCCCAAATTTGGTTTGAAACCTCATTTTCCATATTGAAAAATGGCCATTTGAGGATATCCACCATTGACAAAGCCATACCAGTCACACTTACTTTCGCCCTGCTCCAAGAGCTGCTCATAGAGGACAAGGACATGAGGACGTACAACATCGGATCAGCCAGCTTTATCACACCCAGCTAGTGGAATAGTCGCTGAATTGGATGTCAGTTGTGAGGATTTATGATAAGCATTGAGAAGTGGCAAACAGAATGATGCCAATGCTGTAACTATACCAAGCAACGATGAAAGTTGGCACCCGGGGTTTGGCCACTTTGTTGCCGGATCCACAGATTGCCCCGCAGATTTTCACCACCGCCGTTTTTCCATCACTTCATGGGTCAAAAATCAGAAACCCCAAACTCTGAAATCATTCTCCCCACACGTTTGGAACCACGCTATATTGCAAGCTGAAAAACACACATTAGAACTTTTTTGCTGATCATGGCTGTGGCAGCAACACCCCGGAGCGACTTGGCATAGAATTACATTGCTTGCAACTGTGGCCATTGATGATTAAGATCCGGCCGGACTCTGGACGTTTTGCCTTTAGAGCTTTCCAAAACTGCCTCCAACTGCCTGAGGTAAAACGGTTGAATTTGGACGAAGGGAAAGTCCACAGGACCCCCCAAAATATGTTTGATATGATGTTGTGATGAATTCACATCACCAAATTTTCACCAAACAAAAATGAAAAGGATTTTCCACCAAACCATAAATGGACAGGTCACATTTGAATCCATGTGGTACCTCCACTAAAAATAGGTTTATTAACCAATCTTCCATGAATATTCTATGAATATGCCATGCGTATTCCATCAACATTCAATATTCCATTGATATTCCATTCACATTCCATTATACCACCATTTTTCCACCATTTTCCCACCGTTTTTGTTGATTCTTGCTGTTAATCCATCACTTTCTGGGCTGCCCGGCGCCCCGGCGCAAGGCCTGGTGTCCTCTTTGCCGCAAGCGATCCCGGTGGCTGTGCCGTCCCTGCTGCGTGCCCGGGCGCAGGTATTTTGTGGTTTATGACCCCATGCATATATAAATATGCACCTGACATATTCCATATATATATATATATACTATATATATATATGATATGTATATATATATATACACATAATTATATACATTATATGTACATAATTATATATATATGTACATATATATATACATACATATTTGTATATATATATATATGAATATGAATGGCTTCACATATCACCATGGTTTTTATCCATAGGGCATAGGGAAACTGGGATTCTTCCTATTCAAATGTGGGTGAACTTTGGTTATGAGATACCGGGAAACGTGCCAATTCCATCTAAGTAGTGCCGCCCAATTTTTGGGAACCACAGTCCATGAACAGATCCAAAAAAATTACCAGCAGGGTTTCTCGGGTGTGTTTACAGAGGGAAGTACCCTCTGGTTATTTAACATAGCCATGGAACATGGCCCATAGAAATAGATGGTTTACCTATTAATAGCATGGTGATTTTCCATGGCTATGTTACATAACCAGAGGGTAATGATCGGTCACGAAATTTACCGTGGTAATCAAACATGGAACGTCCTCGATTTGATGATCCTCCCAGAGATGTAAACATCTCCATAGGGGGATCTCCAGGTAGCCACGATTCCATTGCCAGGGTCACCAGGGACTGATGACAAGGTCATCAATAAGAACAGCCGGCCTGGTAAACAAAAAACGATGGAAAATCACCAATTTTAATTGGGTAAATCATGGCAAATCAATTATTTCTACGACCATTTTTCGATAGCTATGTTAGGTTACCAGAGGGTAGGGATCCGAGCCATCAAAAGCAAGTAGTTCATTAGTGGTGATGGACTTCCATGGCAAGTACCTAGGGCTTGAAAGAAAAGATTTGCAGGCCCGAATCAGGGGCTGTGGCCAGTAGTTCTATATGAAGAACGTGTGGCCAACGGCCCATGGATCTGGTTCAACACATTTTTGCCTCAAGATTGAGCAGCTGTGCACATAGCAAGAAGATCGGGCAAAACGACTCTAGCTGATCTTGATTGGGGATTACACTCCTATTTGCAGGGAACGTCTCAGAAGCTGCATGATTCAAATCCCAAGCTCAACCACCACTCTTGCTGCATATCTCCACTTTTTAAATAAATGCATCTCCATGCAGCTGCTGTTGCACTCTAGCAATCGGTTGTACAAAAAAGGAAATACCACATTTCCAAAAAGAAAAGACGGCAACCTATAAATGAGTACTTTCAGACACGCACACACGCACACACACAGAGTTCCATTGCTTACCTCAGATTTACTAAATTCACATAATATAAATTCATGATCAATTTATATAAGTAGTCCCCATTATTCATAACATTAAATATGTCCCCATTCTATTAATTCATGATAATTCTAGAATTTCCACTTATTGGTTAGATTATCAAGAATAGACTAAAATGATGGAAACTCTTTTCATGATGTCCCCTATTACAGTCATTATTTTGGAATAATGATAATTCATGAATTGATGAATTGACGACCCTCTTGTCATTTTAAACATAACTATGGAAAATCACAACTTTTAGTAGGTAAGTCAACGAACTTTTCATGGGCCATTTTCAATAGCTTTTTGTATGTTTACCAGGCCGGGTACATTAACCAATTGATGTCAGTGTTTCCATTGACGCCGCTCAGGATTCCACTACCCCGGGGGCTTAGGCCTTTCGCATGGATCAGGTCCTGTGAGACGGGAGTTGGGGATGAAGCGACCTAAAAAAAGCAACGAACGATTGGGATTTCACCATGAAACATAGGGGGATGTAACCAACAAGACTTGGGATTTAGCCAGTAACAATCGAATTTCGCCAACAAAATCAGGATTCAACTAACAAAGATGAAGATTCAACGAGCAACAGATTGGAGACCAAAATAAAGAGGGATATTTAGCCAACAAGAGTTTGGATTTAAGCAACTAATAGTCATTTCGTCAAAAGGACATGCTGGGAATTTATCAAAAAAAAGGCTTTGCAACGAACAACATATAGGGATTCAGGTAACGAAAATTGGGACATGCCCTTAACAATGGGTGGTTCAGCCATCTAAAGGCCAGGTCAAACTATCGAGCTACAGAGGGAAACTGATTTCAGCAACAGAGTGCTAGTGACTGCTAGTGTCGCTTGGGAGGTTTTATGTGAATCTTAGGTGGGGTAAACCAAGAACAATAGGGTAACACGGTCCAAAAACCAACAGCAGGCAGGGCAAAACGGGATCGATCTCGATTGAGTGAGTCAGCCAACAACAAGAGTGATATGTCACTAGGGCCGCAGATATACTAAGCTTTCTTATGATCAGGGCTTCGGAATATATGCTCTATCCATTCATGTTTGGCATATAATAATCCCAGAAAATAGAAACATGTTTCCAAGATGGTAGTTCGATGATATTTCCCTCATATTTCAAGGTTTCACGATTTTTCTTTCTATGACTGGGGTTGCATCATACGGTTTAATTCTGCATCATATCGGTTTTGGCTGACCCGCTCGCCCTGAACTCAATGATGGAAATCTACAATCCAAGATATCCATCTCCGATTGCTGGTTACATATCTCATGATATATCCATCGTTGTTGCTTGAACCCATTGAACCCCAATTTCTCTTGGTTTCATTCTATTTCCACCATAGCCAACAGAGCGACTTGGCATCCCAACACCAGGGCACAAACCCTTCAGCGCGCTGGAGCAGCCGCGACCGAGATCCCTCCAGGAATTTGAGGTGCGACGTGGCTGGAAAAGCCAGCATTTGTAGATGATTTTCCCAGCTATAAACCTCCATTTCCTGATTTCCAATTGCCACGTTTGATGAAACCGGACGGTAAATGGGACTTGGTCCATTCTGGATGTTACTTTGGGGTCAGTGGTTTTATGGTCACACCCCCATTCTACGCCTATTATATTGCCATAAATCTTGCCATAGATCCACGATAAATCCGCCAATCTTCAGAATTCAGCCAGAATCCTCTAATTTCCCCACGTTTTTTTTTTTTTTGCTTTCTTCATTATATCCCAGCCATAAAATCCATTAAATTCCTACAATGTGGGGCCCCCCAGTTATAAGTTGGTTTAGATTCGCCCCAGTAACTAGTTCGTTATTTGCGTACCATAAACCATAGTGAAATTGGAGTTATGTTCACCAACTTAGCTATCGAACGGGGGCCCACTTTGTATATGATTTCCAACGTTTGTTCGTAGGTGGATCCTAGACCATTGGGTCGTGGCGCCTGCTCTGTAGTCTTCGCCCGGCCCCAGGATGTTTCCGTCGGGGGATTGGGATACCAACCAGCCATCAATATTATAATCATTAGATAATATTAGATAATATTAGATAATATTAGATATATGATATATCCTGTGGTTATTTAACATAGCTATGGAAAAACACCATTCTTAATAGGAAAATACAGGTAAATCATCCATAAATGGACCATTTTCCATAGCTATGTTAAATAACCAGAGGGTATATATAATGATACATATATATATACATACATGTATGGAGGTTTACATGGGGGTGACCCAAAATGAATGGTTTGGAATGGAAAAGCCTATCAACATGGATGATTTAAGGGTACCCGTATTTTAGGAATTTGTAATGTATATGTAACTGGGGTAGAATATGGTTATTGCCCACTGACTCACCTGATA